CGGATTCTTCACTGAGCCCAGGGATTCTCAGACCAGGGATCAAACCCATGTCTCCTGTGCTGGCGGGCGGATTCTTCACTGAGCCCAGGGATTCTCAGACCAGGGATCAAGCCCATGTCTCCTGTGCTGGCGGGCGGATTCTTCACTGAGCCCAGGGATTCTCAGACCAGGGATCAAGCCCATGTCTCCTGTACTGGCGGGCGGATTCTTCACTGAGCCCAGGAAACCAGGGCTACATACCTATTTTTGTGCCAGTGCCACACTGTCTTAATTACTGTGTTTTTATAGCAAGTTGCAGTATGTATCCTCCAACTTTCTTCTTTTCCAGAATGCACTTGCCTGTTCTAGCTCCTGAATTTTCACATGTTTTTTCCATCTAATTCATGAGCATAAAGTGTCTTTCTGTTTATTTAGATACTGTTTATTTATTATAGTTTTAAGTGTATAAACTCTGCATGCGTGCTCAATCACTTCAGTCGTGTCCAACTTTTTCAGCCTTATGGACTATACCCTGCCAGGTTACTCTGTCTATGGAGTTCTCCAGGCAAGAATACTGGAGTGGGTTGCCATGCTCTCCTCCAGGGGATCTTCCCTACCCAGGGATTGAACCCAAGTCTCTTGTATTTCCTGCATTGGCACGACGGTTCTTTACCACAAGCACCATGTGGGAAGCCCAAGCTCTGCATATCCTTTATTATTCCTGTTTTTATTCTTTTGATGCTGTTGTGAACAGAATTATTTTAATCTCAGTTTTCTATTGTTCATTGCTAGTGTATAGACATAACTGAATTTTGCATGTTGATCTTGTGTCCTGCCTCCTTGCTCAACTTGTTTATTACTTTCCAGGACCATTTTGTGGATTCCGTTGACTTCTACATATAGAATTCTGTCATCTGCACATAAAAACCTCTTTGTATATCTTTCTTTCTAGTTTGGGCCCTTAATTTACTCTGCCTTTTTTTCATACTGCACCTTTTAAAACCTTCTGTGTGCTGTTGAATAGAAGTGATAAGAGTGGAATTTTTGTCTTGTTTCTGACTTACAGGATAAATGATTTGGTCATTCATCGTTCAATGTAATGTTGTGCTGTGCTGTCCTTAGTTGTGACCCCATAGACTGTAGCCCACCAGGCTACATGGAGCCCTCCAGGCAAGAATACTGGAGTGGGTTGTCACGCCCTCATCCAGGGGATCTTCCCAACCCAGGGATCCAACCCAGGTCTCCGACATTGCAGGTAGATTCTTTACCATCTGAGCCACCAGGGAAGCCCCAATGTAACGTTAGCTGTTGGTTTGTTTTTTTTTTTTTGGTATATTTCGTTTATCAGATTGAAGATGTTCCTATCTATTCTTAGTTTGTTGAGAGTTTCACCATTAGTGTTGTTCAGTTCAGTTCAGTTCAGCCACTCAGTCGTGTCCGATTCTTTGCAACCCCATGAATCGCAGCACACCAGGCCTCCCTGTCCATCACCAACTCCTGGAGTTTACTCAAACTCATGTTCATCCAGTCGGTGATGCCATCCAGCCATCTCATCCTCTGTCGTCCCCTCCTCCTCCTGCCCCCAATCCCTCCCAGCATCAGGGTCTTTTCCAATGAGTCAACACTTCACATGAGGTGGCCAAAGTGCTGGAGTTTCATCTTCAGCATCAGTCCTTCCAATGAACACCCAGGACTGATCTCCTTTAGGATGGACTGGTTGGATCTCCTTGCAGTCCAAGGGACTCTCAAGAGTCTTCTCCAACACCACAGTTCAAAAGCATCAGTTTTTCGGTGCTCAGCTTTCTTCACAGTCCAACTCTCACATCCATACATGACCACTGGAAAAACCATAGCCTTAGTGTTGTTGGATATTGTCAAAGGCTTTTTGTGTATCTATTGAGATGATCATGTGGTTTGTTTCTGTTAATATGTAATATTACATTAATTGATTTTGGAGTGTTAAACCAACTTTGCATTCCTGCGAAAAGTCCCAGTTGTCCATGGCGGGCGGTCCTTTTTATTTCTTGCTTGATTTCTTGTTGTGTGTTTGGTATTGCTCCTCTGTCAGGACAGTAATGGGCTCATAAAATTTCTTGGAGAACGCTGCCTTTCCTCTGTTTGTAAGATAGTTTGTTGATGGTTAGAATTATTTCTTCTTTTAAATATTTGATAGAATTTTTCAGGAGGTTCCCTGGGTCCGAGCTTCTCTTTGTGAGAAGACTTTTAATTACCAGTTAATTTCTATACTTTTCTGCATCTATTCAGATTTTCTGTTTTCCTGGAGTGAGCTGTGGTGGTTTGTGACTTCTCAGGAATTTTTGCATATCGTCTTAAGTTGTTGAATTTATTGGCATGCAGTTTATAATATTCCCTTAAACCTTGTTAATGTTTGTAGTATCTGTAGTGATTTCACTCTTCCCATTCTTGATATTGTATATACATATTCTCATTTTTCTTTTTATCAGTCTAGCTACAAATTATTAATTACATTGAGCTCAAAGAACTAGTTCTCACTTTAATTCATTTTCTCTATTATTTTTCTTTTATCTTTATTATTTCCTGCCTTCCTCTTCCTTTGCATTTAATATGCTCTTTTTTCTAATTTATCAAGGTATAAACTGAGGTCATTGATTTGAAAACTTTGTTCTAATGTAGATGTTTACTGTTATAAATATCCCTCTAATTATTATTTTAGTGGAATCCTACAAATATAGATGTGTTGTGCTTTTGCTTTCATTAGTTTTAAATTCTTTTCTAATTTTCCTTTTCATATCTTTTTTGATCCAGTGGTTATTTAGAAGTACATTATATAGTTTCCGAATATTTGGTGATTTTCCAAGGAACTTTCTGTTTTGATTGATTATTTATGTTCTGGTCAAAGAACATACATACTTTGTATGATTTGAGTCCTTTTGAATTTATTAACTTGTTTTATGGCCCAGAATATGACCTATCTTAGTGATGATTCTGTATGCCCTTGAGAACAGCATGTGTTTTGATGTTTTGGGTAGAGTATTTTCTAAATGTCAATCAAGTAAAGTTGGTGGTTAGTGATGTTCACGTCTACTGTTATCCTTGCTGATTTTCTGTTCTATCACTTATTGAAAGAAGGGTGTTGAAATCTCCAACCATAATTGATTTGTTCATCCTTGCAGTTCTTTCAGTTTTGGCTTCATGCATTTTAAAATGCCACCATTAAGTTAATAAATATTTAGGATTTTTATGTTCTCTTGATTAAATGACCCTTTGTCCTTGTGAAATGGTCATCTTCGTTTTAAGTACTGTTCTTTGCTCTTAACTCTACTTTGATATCAATACGTTCACTGTAGCTTTGACTAGTGTTAGCATAGCATATCTTTTCCTGTCCTTTTATTTTTTATCTTCGTTAATTTGTTTCTTCATAGTTAAATTGTTTCATGTAGGCACCACATAACTTGGTTTTGCTTTTTAAATTTTAACTGATAGTCTCTGCATTTGAAAATTGGTGTTTCATCTTTGCATTTGAAAATTGGTGTTTCATCTTTGCACAGTGGCAGTACAGTCAGTGAGGTTTATCTGAGGCACAGTTATTGTTAATTGGAAACTTTTCCCAATCCTCTGCTGTGATGATTTGAAATAGAGTTGACATTGGCAATTTTTTAAAAGTATCAAATTATTGACTAGACTGTGTCTCAGTTGAGGCATGTTGGCTCTTTAATGGGCATGTGGGATCTTGGTTGTGGCATGTGGCATCTTAGGTCCCTGATCAGGGGTTGAGCCCAGCTACCCTGCCTTGGGAACTCAGAGTCAGCCACTGGACCACTAGGGAAGTCCCAACATTGGCAATTTTTGACAGTCTCTGCAGGGATTGATTTTTTTTTTAGTGGTATGTTTATTACTGTTTCCTTTTAATATGATTGTATGATTGAGTCTGTCATCCTTCTGTTTGTTTTCTGTTTGTCCCATGTGTTTCTTGTTTCCATCTTCTTCTTTTTTCATTTTTTAAAAATTTCATTTATGTCCTTTTCTTATTCCTTAGCTATAACTCTTGTTTTTTTTTTTAACTTTAATGATTACTTTAGCATTTATCAGTCAACTTTCAAAGAGTATTACATGGTCTCATGTTTAGTGTAACAACTTGACAGCAGCATGCTTCTATTTCTCCTCTCCTAGCCTTTTTACTGTCATTTTTCAAACGTTTTTTCTTCTGTGTATGTTTTAGACCCTATAATACATTGTTCATTTTACTTCTGCCTGTGTGTCTTCCTTTAATATTTTTTTAGTGCTGGTCTTTTGGTCATGAATTCCTGTTGTCTTTCTTCTTTTTTAAGATATAATTCACATTGTTTACCCATTCACATCCAACAATTCAGTGTTTTTAGCACTTTCATGAAAGTGCAACCTTTATTACAATTTTACTTTAGAATATTTTGTCCCTCACTAAAAAAAAACCAAGAAAACCCACTCAGTATTCTTGCCTGGGAAATCCCATGGCTAGAGGAACCTGGCAGCCTACAGTCCATGGGATTGCAGAAGAGTCGGACACAGCTTGGCGACTAAACAACAAAAAAGAAGCCCCGCACCCACTCTCAGCTGTTCTCCACACTCACGCACCCTTTTGGTAAGGGAGGGATCCTCTACCCTAAATACTGTTAGATGGCCCAACATACAATGCCCAGCCCTGACAGCAGTTTATTAAACACATATGCTCATGGCCCTGAGGAGGACGAAACCTCACAACAATGGGGATGCATCATGCCTCTCTTGGGAGCAATGTGAACAAACATGGGCTTTTTTGGGAGGCAGGCTTTATAGGAATGTGAGAATGAGTTGACCCTTGCTTCCCATCAGGGAACATCCATCTTGGATGGAAGAGAATCTGCCCAAAGGTTTTGACAGATGAATAAACCATTTGGCATATGATCTTTTATATGAATTTTTTTTTCTTAAATGAAATTTTTTCCAACAGATTTTCATTAGTATTTTAAATTCTTTTCATGATAAATGTCTTGGTTTAAGTATGTTTTCTGTTACGTTTACAGCTTGCCTCTGAAGATTGATTTGCTAGATAGTCCAGACTTACTGGAAACAACCGTTGATGAGCTAGCTGGGACAGCTGACACCATGGACACCTCCCAAGCCCCAGGTGAAGTGAGCACAGCCACCAGACAGGCTGGGTTAGAGGGACCTGAAGGTGAGCGTAAGTAAACGTTCTGTGCGATGTCAGTGTCATTAATCTAGTCTACGTCTCTTGAAATGAGCTGTTTGTCAGTCACTTCAAGAGTATTTTATGCAGCAGTAGCTGAATTTAAAATTTTAATGCAGAATAGTTTATGCCTTCTTGCCTTTTTGACTTAAGGGTGCATTGAAATGTTTAAGATCACATAATTGATACCATTAAACATTTGTGTCATTTATAAGTCATTAAACGTTTATAAATTTTCAAATTTGCTTTTTGTTTCTTGAGTGAAAATTAAGAGAAAAATGTTTCCTTAGAGATGACCTAGGGCACGGGACTGAACAAATGTTTGGACATTCCATTAGCGCATAGGAAATATTTTGTTATTAATGAGAGCTGTTGTTGCCCAGACCCACAAAAATAAATAATCAAGAAAGAATGCTGCTCTCCTTAACTTTTTAAAAGGCTAAAAGGAAATAATAAATTGCACATATTTCTATCTATTTGTGAGTTTGGTTTGATATTGAAACATAACTGTGTTTAAACAAGAGCTTTCTGTTGAATTTCAGTATAACTGTGATCATTTAAAAGCAGCTTATGTTTTCATGGCTCTTGGCAATTTTGATTTCTTTTTCTAAAATTAGGCACCATCTTTTAAACAACTTACAGGAAATTGCCCATGAGTATGCTGTTCTCTCTGAAGAGTGTAGAATACAGCAATAGGATTTAGTAATTTAGAAAGACGTGATAAAACCTGTCACAGTGCTTCTGGTTCATAGAACATGCTGGCGTGGGCTTCCATAATTACTGCTGGTGGTGGGCTTCCCTGGCGGCTCAGAGGTTAAAGCGTCTGCCTGCAATGCAGGAGACCTGGGTTCTATCCCTGGGTCAGGAAGATCCCCTGGAGAAGGAAATGGCAGCCCACTCCAGTATTCTTGCCTGGAGAATCCCATGGATGGAGGAGCCTGGTGGGCTACAGTCTACAGGGTCACAAAGAGTCGGACACATCTGAGCGACTTCACTTTCACTTTCAGTTGATTTTAAAAATCTGTTCTTTTGTAGTGAAGTAACCACTACGAATGCACTGTTAAACAAATGTTCTGGCATGTTATATGTTATGTTTTTATTGACATCTACCATATTTAAATTGTTATTCTGAGTCTGAGGTCCAGGAAACATAAATTAGCTTTGATTTATTCATAATTTCAGAATGATGTTCTAATTTGATTTTTTAAAGGTAATAGTTATCGGGTTAAGAAAACATATCTGTTACTCAGAGCACTTTGTTTTATTATACTTTGCAAGTATTATGCTTTTTTGCAAAATGACAGTTTGTGGCAACCCTACATTGTCAGATAATGGGTAGCATTTTTTAGCAATAAAGTATTTTTTAACTGAAGTGTGCACATTAATTTTTTAAACATAATGCTATTGCATGTTTAATAGGTAGACTGCAATATAGTACAAACATAATTTACATGCACTGGGAAACCAGGCAATTCACATGACTCAGTTCACTGTGGTGATCCCGAGCTGAACCCACAGTATCTCCAAGGAATGCCAGTATTCCTCATGTACTTTTTTTGCAGCAATTGCTTTTGGTTATTTTCCAGTTTTCACAGCCTTGCTCTGGACTCTGTCTCTTGTTAGAAATAGTCACTCTTTGTCACTAGAAAGTTGTGATATGTAACAGATAGAGGCCATCGGTGTTTAGATTCAGCCAGAAGCAAGACTAGCTTAATGTGAAGTATTTTCCAGATTAAAATAAAAAGTCTCTTTTATAGAATGGCAGCATTGATTCTATTTTCATTTTATGTCTGTCCATTGTATGTATTAAAAGTTGCTTAAATTAAAATTTTAATTTAATTAATTAATTTGGAAGAAAAGCTATGATGAACTGAGATAGCATATTAAAAAACTGAGACATTACTTTGCCGACAAAGGTCTGTCTAGTCAAAGCTATGAATTTTCCAGTAGTCATGTATAGATGTGAGAGTTGGACCATAAAGAAGACTGAACACCAGAAAATTGATGCTTTTGAGCTGTGGTGTTGGAGAAGACTCCTGAGAGTCCTTAGGACTGCAGGGAGATCAAATCAGTCAATCCTAAAGGAAATCAATCCTGACTGTTCATTGGAAGGACTGATGCTGAAGCTGAAGCGCCAACACTTTGGCCACCTGATGCAAAGAGTCAACTCCTTAGAAAAGACTCTGATGCTGGGAAAGATTGGAGGCAGGAGGAGAAGGGGACAGTAGGGGAGGAGATGGTTCGATGGCAACACTGACTGAATGAACGTGAGTTTGAGCAAGCTCCGGAAGATGGTGAAGGACCGGGACGCCTGGTGCGCTGCAGGCCACGGGGTCGCATGGAGTCAGACGCAGCCAGGCCGCTGAACAGCAGCAGCGGTTGTCTGGGCTTGAAGCGTGGTTAAAGCTCCTCCAGCGCACTGCAGTGGTGTTGTGTGAGCAAACAGTGGTTATTTAGTGCACACTTGCTAGGAGGTTATATTGGTTTTGAGGAGTTTGGTAGAACAAACTAAGGATGCTTAGAAATGACAAGACCAACTGAGACGTAACAACTTCAGATATTCAGAAGCCTTTTATATCAGGGAATTTATGTCACCTTCTTAGTGAATCTTGGATCAGCAGTTTGAAAATACAGCAAAGCCAAATTGAAATGAGTTTAGGGAAGAATCTTTTAAACTGTTCTTGCCATATATCAGAAGAAGATATCTTATAGTGAGTGGGCCCCCCATTACAGAAACTATACAAACAGAGCTTAAATACTGTTGGAAGTTAGGACAGAAGAAATTCTTGAATCATGTAGAGGTTTCATTAGTAAGACTTACCCAGTTGAGACTCAACACATTTGCTCAGGGTCAATCAGTGAAGCTAGAGCATGTTGGTATTAAATTAAGGTTTTATACCAAGATATGAATCTTGGTGTCCAATTTATTCTATATTTTATTTTGGTTATGATGTCAAAACCCTGATTAACTTAGGTAAATAGTTAATAAATAGTAACTTGAAAAGCATTTATCCTACAGTCTCAGGATATTTCTCAGCCAAACAGGAATAGCAGAATAAGTTTTATTTTAACCAGTTCCCCCTCACCACCATAAGCCAGCAGTATTAACAGCATAAGCTAAAGTGTTGTGGGCCCAGCATCATCATGTTAAAATGTAATGTCAAATCATTTGAAGCATAAGAAAAACAAGAGGTGGCCATTAAGTAAGAAAATGAATATAGAAGATTTTGAGATTAATGTTAAATTAGTGATTCTCAGTTTTGATTGTACATTAAAATCACCTCGAGGGTTTTAGAAACTACAAGTGCCACTCAGAGCTGTACACTGGGACAGCCCTGAGGGATGGGATGGGAGGGTCCTGGTGGGGTTCAGGGTGGGGGACACACGCACACCCGTGGCTGGTTCCTGTCAACACAGGGCGAAAACCACTATTGTAAAATAATCAGCCTTCAATTAAATAAATTAATTTAAAAAATAAATAAAAACTACTAGTGCCAGAAAACTACCTTCAGAAATCTGGTATTGTTATTCTAGGGTCAGCTCTGGGAATCAGTATTTCTTAAAAGTTCCCAATCTGATTCTAATGTGTAGCCAAGGGACAGATTTAGAGTTAATTGATGAACACTTTAGAAGATCTCTTTGACTGAGAGGAAGTGACTTCATAGTTTTCCCTCCTTTCTTCTACTTGATTGCTTAGAAATTATTAGGCATTCAGTAGCTTTTTCGGTTATGTGGACAGTGTATAAATTCAAATTCCTATCAAATTGATTCCTGCACAATAAGAACAACTATCAGTTGTTAGTTGAGATAGAATTCATTGTATTTAATGTATCTTCTTTTCAGTGGTTGGAGGATTTGACTTGTAATGTATTGTGCAGCCTGGTTGCAGGTAGTGAAGATAAGATGCTTGTCCTGCATCACACCTGACTGATGGCACCAGTATGTAATAGGCTGAGTCAGTGAGTGAATAGATGTGTGCTCTTCATCGGTGTAGCTTTAGGCCCCATGTAGTCAGGAAACGAGGAGGAGAACGGCTGGGTGTAAGGTTTGCAGGAGGAGCTTGGGTTGCACTTAGGAAGGAAGGGTGGTGTCCCCGCTGCTCTGTGCCTTTTCTTTGAATCACGTAGCTGGTGAGCTTTCTTAACCCTTCATGCCATGGAGAGTCTGCATCCAGTGGCGTTTTAGGAGCAGAGCAGATACAGGAAATGTTCCTGTTTAGGTTAACTCTTACTGAAATTAACGGTGAGTTTCCTGGTGATAGGAAGAATGTCTGGTCCGAGGTGATCTGGATTGTTGCCTTTTACTGGTGGTACCTGGCATTAGGGGGAGCGGTGAGGAAAGCCTGAGTCTCTACACTTAGAAGCCGTGACAGCAAGGCAGACTAAGTGGCTGTTTTCCTTTTTTTCCCCAGCATTCATAGGTGCCTCAGAGAAGCTCAAACACCTTGAAATGGAAAACAGTCCTGTGCCAGCTCCTCACCCCAACGTGGATGTTAACATTAACAACCAGGTATTCTGAGTTCTCTTTCGCATGCCTGTCATACAGCCCCAGACTTCCCAGAAATCTTTTCCATCCAAAGCTAATATTTTTTCTTTTCTTTCACTGGGAAGTCTATCTGTGCTGAACTCTTAAAACTTGTTATATAATTTAAAAAGGTGAAATTTGTGGCTATTTAGGAGGAAACTTGGACAGCAGTGTTAAGAATTATAAGATCATCTCATGTGTTTTCTTTAGATTCAGCCCATCCCTTCTCTAATTCTGTTCAGTGAATCTTGATTTAGTTGAAAAAATTAATTGAACACCTTTTAAATTGTAAATGGATTTGTTTGGAAGGAAACTGCTCTGTAATAAGCGAGCATGAGATGCTAAAGCATCATCCCTCATACCCTTCACCATCCTGTCCTCTTGAAGTCTTTAGGCATGTGGTGGGGTGACATACCAGTTAAACCAATTAAACCTCAATTAACTATTTGACTGTAATTAAATTTTTTGTATTATTTCTACATTAAATAACTTAAAGCAGTAACTAAAGTGGGAATAGGATAAAAATAATTGTCCCCAATAATGGAAGAGTGAATTTTAGGTAATAATCTGGAGACAGCCTTTTATTTTTTTCCCTATATCTAGGCAATAGATAACAAAGACCTGCTGAATGAATTTTGTTTGGCTTGATTTTAAAGAGGAAAAAGGAACATCTGACTTGCAGTTCTCTTTCATCCTTGGATAACTAGCTGGACTTGTTCAGAGACCAGTATGGAGCACAGAGTGACTTCTTTCCTTCATAGTCATTGTTACAACTGTCCTTTAGAATGTGTCTTTTTTTTTTTTTTTCATCCTGTTATATTTTTCATTGAAATGTCTTTTAGAAGCTGATTCAATTTCAGAAAGCCTTTCCATTTTTGACCCCTCAGTAATTCTCAATTATATGGTCTCTTTCGTTCACATTGTCAGTTTTTCTGCTGTCTTTGTAAGGTAGGGGAATGCAGGGTCAAAGTCAGAGAGGATGAACTGAAAGCTTTCAATGAAAGCTTAGGTAGTTGACAGTTTGACAAAAATTTAGTGGAGGCCTGGAGTGAACCTGAAGATTGAGGCCCAGTAAATCTTGACAGGGAGTTGAAGGGTAATTGTTGCGCAGGAAATTCATTGAGCGGCTGCTTGTTTTTTTAGCAACATTCACTGCACATTTTGCTGTAACTTAGCTGAACCTCTGGACCAGACGATCTATTAGATTAGTTATGAAACCTTGGAAAAATAAGTACGAGTCTGGGTTTTAAGATAGGAAAGGGAATATGAGAGAGGGTTAGGTGAAGGATGGTGTGCCATGAAGAAGTGTCTGGGGCTCACGTTACTAGGAAGATAATAGCTAATATTTGGTGAGGGCTTACTCTATGCCAGGCAGAAATAAAAAGAAAGAGTTCAGTGCTGTACTGACACATAAGAGATGTCAGACTACCCTACCTCAGTGCTTCAGCTAGTGCTGCGTACAAGTTTGTTAGCTGAAGAAAAATAAAGCACAGCCTAAAAGCTGAGAGTTATATGTTATTTGACAGACTTTCTTAGGACTTCAGGCGTGGGAGGCAGTATCTTAAATAACCCTGAGACACTGCTTCAAAGAGGGCAGGATGAGCCTGTATTCACAGGAGTTTTTGCAACAAAGTCTGGTCATGGTCATCGAAAGATCAGTGTTAATAAAAGAAAACCAGCTATTTCACATTAAGGGACTCAGTACTTTTCCATGCATTGATGTGCAGTCTCTTAAGCTATGTTTACCTCTTTGCCACCCCACGGACTGCAGCACACCAGTCTTCCCTGCTCTTCACGTCTCATGGAGTTCACCCAAACTCATGTCCATTGAGTCGGTGATGCCATCCAACCATCTCATCCTCCGTCGCCCCCTTCTCCTCTTGCCCTCAGGATCTTCTTTAGTGACTCAGCTCTTCACATCAAGTGGCCAACATATTGGAGCTTCATCATCAGTCCTTCCAATAGTATTCAGGGTTGATTTCCCTTAGGATTAACTGCTTTATCTCCTTGCAGTCCAAGGGACTGTCAAGAGTCTTCTCCATCATCCAATTTGAAAGCATCAATTCTTCAGCAGTTAGCCTTCTTTAGGGTACAACTCTTACACCCATACGTGACTACTGTAAAAACCATAGCTTTGACTGTATACACCTTTGTTGGCAAAGTGATATCTCTGCTTTTTAATATGCTGTCTAGGCTTGTCATAGCTTTTCTTCCAGGGAGCAAGCGTCTTTTAAAGTTGTGGCTGCAGTTAACATCCACAGTGATTTTGGAGCCCAAGAAAATAAAATCTGTCACTGTTTGCACTTTTCCCCACCTATTTGGCATGAAGTGATAGGACTGGATGCCATGATCTTCGTTTTTTCAACGTTGAGTTTTAAGTCAGGTTTTTCACTCTCCTCTTTCACCCTCAAGAGGCTCTTTAGTTTCTCTTTGCTTTCTGCCATTAGAGCGGTATCATCTGCATACCTGAGGTTGTGGATATGATCCCGGCAGTCTTGATTCCAGCTTGTGAGTCATACAGCCCAACATTTCACATGATGTACTCTGCATATGAGTTAAATAAGCAGGGTGACTATGCACAGTCTTGATGTACTTGTTTCCCAATTTTGAACCAGTCTGTTGACCTCATAGACTGTAGCCTGCCAGGCTCCTCTGCCCATGGAATTCTCCAGGCAAGAATACTGGAGTGGGTTACCATCCCCTTCTCCAGGGGAATCTTCCCAATCCAGGGATCAAAGCTGGGTCTCCTGCATTGCAGGCCAGGGAAGCCCTGGTTTACTGTGTATGGGAAGATGTGAGTCTGGGCTCACTGCAGTCATTCCTGTGATACGCACTTCGGCTGTCTGGGGCCAGCATCGTGAGTTTCCTCGGAAGCACCATCGGGGCGGCTGCGGAGGCTGACCACTGCGTGGGCTTCAGTGGGTGGTCATCTGTCTGCATCCTGAGTTGCCTCGGGGTTCACTGTCCGGTGGCTGAAATGTGTTGGCGTGATGGCTGCAGCATCCTTTGTTTACCGTTAGAGCAGCAACATTTTAGTTCTCAAGTTGATTCATGTGTTTTCTCATATCTGTTTGTTTGATGGTGCTGGATCTTAGTTGCAGCACATGGGGTCTTTTAGTTACAGCTTGTGGGATCTTTTTCCCTAACCAGGGTTTGAACCAGGGCCCTCTGTATTGGGAGTAAGGAGTCTTAGCCCCTGGACCAGCATGGAAGTTCCCTTGATTAATGGTTTATTTATATGACGCACTTTTAATCCACTCTGATTTCTCTACCTCTGCCACTGACTGTTAATGTTTGCTTAAGGAATGCAAATTAATCTTAATATCAGTTTTACTAAGTATAGTAATTTTAGGATGAAACACCTACTGTAAATAGAGTATATTCTAAAGCAAAGTGTCAGATGTTGGATGTTTAGCTCTAAAAATTGGGTAACTGAGAAGGTTTTAGGCTAATGGAATTTTCAGATGGAAACAACTGGAAAGTACAGTGTGAGAGACAAAATCAGGATCTATGAATACTTTGAAAGGCTGGAATGACGGATTGGGTTTAAGACTAGTCTGACATATATGTAGGCATTAGGATCAGGAGGTAGAACATAACAGGCATGTGTAAAAAAAGTTTGAGAATTTTGTAAACATTATGAAGTGTAACTGCTGAAACATATCCATTATATTAACTGAAAGGGCTTAAAAAGGGAGCTCCAACCATAGTATTAAAAAGGAAGAGAGAGAAACATGATTTCGGAAAACTAAAGTGGTTTGAGAAGAGGAGGGGTACAGTGAAGAATCTTGAAGCACAGTTGCAATGATGCTCAGCGATCTCAGGAAAGAAGACTTCAGTTATCTGAGGAGCTATGATATGACAGGAAGTAAAGTATTGATCATGTTTTTTAACAGTCTTGGAGAAGAGCTAACGTCAGTGAGTGGCGAAATTAGGCAGATTTCACCTTAGTATAAGAAAACACATCTTAACACACCTGGGAATTGAACAGATAGCTAAGAAAGCAGCAGCTTCCCTAATGTGGGAGGTTCCTCAGGCTAAGACTGAAGTCAGCCTTGGGATATTTTGGAGGTTGGATGTACTTGGAGGTTGGAGCATTCTTTCCACCTTGGGACACCCTGAATCTCGGATTCATTGTTGGAATTCTTCCCCTTTCTGGGTGCCTCCTGGTATGGGGAATGTGTCCACAATGTCTGCCTGATCTGTGTCTTTGGAGTCCTTTAGGGCTTATGCTGTGTCAAGACTTGAAGACTTTTCAGTTACCTTCCTCCTCTTAATTACTTGAGACAATTCCATAATTTTCTTTATCTTCAGATTTGAAGGATAATTTTTTTTCTTGGTCCTTGATCAGAAAATTTTTAAAATGCTTAAAGTAACAGAATCTAAGCTGCATTTGTTAGTGAGGATGGGGACATGATTAAGGCCTGACCTTTAGCACCTAGTCTTTCTAGTGTAAAGGTTTAAAAGAAAGGCGTGATGACCGTGTTCTCTTGACCACGAGTTGGCAGCCTCTTTCATTAAAGGTCAGTAAATATTTAAGTCTCAGTAGCCATACGGTCTCTGTCATTGTACTCAACTGTGCCACCGTGGCATGAGCTAGCCATAGCCATGTGGGCCTGGGCATGGCCGTGTTCTGGTAGAGTTTACTTACTAAAACAGATGGCGGGCCAGGTGTGGCCTGTAAGTTGTCTTTCTCTTGTTGTTGGGAATGTAATCCTACAGCAGATTGCTGCCACACATGACTTGGAATAATCTTTGTCACTTTTAATCTTTTGATTTTTTTTGTACCCAAACCTTAAGAAGGTATAACCAAAAAGTATATCAAAAATCAAAATCTGCACTCTGAAGAAAGCAAAGGAGAAAGATGAATATATTACCTGGATTTTGACCCATGAACCTTAGAACTCAAGACTGTGAACGTAGTAAGTTCTGAATTGCTGACAAATTTAAGTGGTTTTTATGGGATAAATACAGGAGTTATTTGT